TGTTGAACTCTTCTCTGTATGCTGAAGTGTTGGAGTTCTCTCATTTTTTAATGAATTTTTATCATGTTATCCAAAAAATTCATGTTCTTATCATCATTTTTCCTTGGAATATTTAAGTACTTGACAAATTGTTCTACTTTCTATCCTCAGTGGTGCATTTCTTTTGCTTTATGGCGTTGCATTAGCTATTGAAGGATGGGGTGTAGTTGCAAGTTTGAAAATCTATCCCCCTTTCGCTGGAGCTGCTGTTTCAGCAATTACCCTTGTCGTAGCTTTTGGATTCGCTGTCTCTCGCCCTTGTTTGACTCTCGAGGTATTTCCAATCATGGTATTTGCTTTATTAGCAATTTCTCTTGATTTCTTGATCATAATATTCTATTGTGTCAGTAGGTTCAGTCATAGGTATGGACTTAAAAAGCCGGTCCGGTCCAGTCTGGTGCCAAGGTTTTCAGTACGGTCAAGTCTGGTCAAGGTTTTCAGTCCGGTCGTCGGTCTGCTCCCGGTCTGGTCTTGCACCAATGCACACCCCTAAATATAATTGTGTCAGATTTTTAAATAGGGATATCTTTTAAATTTACTGCCTGTTCCTAACCTAAAACCATGTTTCATATTCAGACCAGAAACGCTTTATCTGGAACTTACTCTGCTCCCCAGAGGTCTGCCAGCTCAGCTGCTCTTTTGGTTGGGGATCCTGCTGTAATTCGAGATAAAGGAGGCAATTTTGTACTTCCTAGGGCTGATGTCATGAAATTAAGAGATCGTTTGAGAAATGAAGAATTAGCAGCTGGATCTCTTATGTCTAGGTTGAGAAATAAGACCCTGCGGCACGGAGCTATAACTGATATAGGTCACAAAAGAGAAATGTGTGCTCATGCCAGAATACTAGCTCTGGAAGAAGCAATTGACACTGAATGGGTTTACATGTGGGATAAGTTTGGTGGTTATTTACTTCTTTTTCTTTGTTTGACGGCTAAAGCTGAACGTGTACAGGTATAAATGCTTAAACATTCTATCACACAGCACATGAAGTCTTTTTCATGCTAACCTCCTTGTTTTACAGGATGAGGTTCGTTTAAGACTTTTCCTCGACAGCATAGGATTGCCTGATCTCAGTGCTAAGGATATCAAATAGTGGCTACCAGAGGAACATAGGCGATTTGAACTTATAGAAGAGAGGTATATAGGAACATCTCAAGCTATTAATGTTGCTTCTGTTACCCTTCTCGGTCTCATAGTGAAATAACTTGTCAAGTTTGTAAATCTATGTGTAGTTATATAAGAGAGAAAGAGATGGAAGAAGAAATATTGATACAGAGACGCGAAGAGGAAGGAAGGGGTAAAGAGAGGAGGAGAGCTCTTCTGGAGAAAGAAGAACGCAAATGGAAAGAGATAAAAGCTTCTCTTATGTCATCTATTCCCAATGCTGGCAACAGAGAAGCAGCTGCAGTAGCAGCTGCTGTTCGTGCAGTTGGAGGTGATTCAGTTTTTGATGATTCTTTTGCTCGTGAGAGAGTTTCAAGCATTGCACGCCGCATACGTGCAGGCCAGTTATCTCGGCGAGCACTCCAGGTTATCATTTTTTCAATAGTTCTAGTTTATGGGGGTCTTTAATATGAATATGTACTCTCTGTATTACGTTCTCCTATCAGTACTCTTTCATTGTAAGTTCATCATGTTG